CGTTATCGTAAAGAAGGATACAATCCAATAGCAACTGGAGGTGATGCTGTATATGTACTGGATAAAGGAAAGTTGTCTTATGCACTTCTTGACGAGGGGCAGCACCAGAAAATAATGGATGGAACAGTTAAATTTTGAATTTGTGTGCTTGAGTAAATTAACATAGATTTTTTGCTGTTGTTTCCTTTTATTATTGGCTAGGATATGATTATTAGTCTAGTGCTAACGAGTGATAGACATCAAAGCATCTCTCTGATAGATCTATCCCGCCCACTTGACTTTAGCCTGTCTTCTGGAGTTTCAGTAGATATAGATCTATGTATGAGGAACAATACGAGCCAGTTGAACCTCCAGTGCCTCATTTTAGTAGCCATCCAGTGAGTTTGGGGGTTATTTCAACAAGATATGGAAGAAACTTGCCTCAAGTGATATTAGCCGCAAGTGAATCTGCTGTTGGAGCGGCGCAAGGTCTGCTAAAGGATGGGCAGGAGTTAGAAGTGTATTTTAAGAAGGAGACACCAATTATCACTATGATGATGGAAGGCAAAACATACACAGTGCCACTGAGTAGCACCTTCATGTTCAGTGTATTATATAATCCTAAGAATGAGGATTTGAGCATTGTTAGAAGAGGCCACCACTTTCCAACAGTTGCTGACCTCATGAAAGCTGATCCTCTGCCTACTGTGGTGTATGTTGGAAGAGATTGCGTTACCTCAAAAGGCAGAGAAGTGAAATCTATCCCAAAAGGCACAATCTTGATAATTCAAGAAATCATAAAAATGGAAGAAACTAAAATTCTCAGATGTTCAAAATTTGACGATCCCTCAAATGACATATACCTTGACAGAACCTCTGAAGGTCACTTTACTACAAGAGAGTCTCTCCTTATTTTTTCACTTCCAGAGCTCATTAAACACATTAAATGTCCATGTGATACCTCAATGTACAATTCCGATGGTAAAACACTATGCCCTATGTTTAAAGACAAATTTGCAACAATCTACGACAAGCGGTCAACAATGCACTCATTCATTGCTGGGCATTCTTCAACTATTACGATTGTTGAGTTGTATGCCATGCTTCCTGTAAAATTTCACATTTCCAGCAAAAGTGACAAAGAATTGTACCAAATCATGAAAAAAGCAAACATGCTATCTCAAACGCTCTCTCCAGATCAAGTAACTTCTGTCATATACCACGACTCCCCAACTGACGATAGTCTCCAAGAAGACTTGCTGTTACCACTAAACAATAGTGCATGGCTAAAAGAAATTAACTTTTCAAGAAGTAGAGTTTATGAACCATTGAACCTTCTGACAAAAGCAAGCCCAGTGAAGCCACATTTGTCACAAGTTCAACAGGAAAGTGCAGCACCTTCACATTCCCATTCGTCAAAAAATGTTATTCATTTGCTGCCTCACTGCATTTATAAGTCATCAAAACGACTAAAATTGCCTTTGCAAGATGCCACTACTGATCTCAAGGATATGGCACTTAGTGATGCTCGTGGTTCTGCTGATTTACCTGACTTCGCTCTTGAGGATAATGTATCCTATGGACTTGTAAAGAAGAATGATTTGACAGGTAACATAAATGTACATACAGACTACAATGTATGCTGCTTACAAATTTGTAGACAATGCTTCTGTTTACATAATTCTGTTTACATAAATACTCTTTTGGTTACTATAACAACTGTAGCAATGTTTATCTTTTGTGACTTAGCACTCCACTATAAAAAAATATATTCTTCATCACTGATGACGGCATACTGCAACAGTGGAATTAGAAGTGGGTGGCACTCAATAATGGTGATTCTATGATTGCAATGCATTGGGGGTTTAAATATTGGCCACATGTCATTGAACATACTCAAAGCAAAATGGCAGATTTCATTCTGGCAATTTTTGCCAATCATGATTAGAATAAAACTCTAGTAATTTTTCTGCTGTACAGTAGTTTCCAATAAGCAGAGAATACAAAATAGGGCTATGCATGCATTATGATGGACAATAAACAATAAGGGTTAAATTCAGAACAAACTTGATCAACAACACCGACTAATTAAGTAAAAGAACACATTTACACATACATGGATCAAATAAACATTCATTATTTATTTATTCGTGTTGATTGTTGTCTCATGATCTAGGATCAGCTAATGACATAAGGGAGTCAATGACAAAGGGACAACATTTTGAGACTAACAAGAAGTTGTTAGCAGACTATGATACTTACAAGGTACATAATGATTAGAATCTAGCTAACTGTATTTCAATTTGCACACTTGCAGTTGGGAGAGTTACTTGATCTGATGGGATTACAGCAATATTGTGTTTCATTTTCAAATGGATCAGTTGATGGAAAGAACCTGTTTGGATTAGATGATGCAATACTTCAGGATGAATTTGGCATATCTAACCGAATACATCGTATAAGGCTAATGAAAATAATCAGAGGGGACCAATGTGTCTCAGATATAATCAGGAATCCAAGTGTATAGATAATTACTTCAGTTCACTGGTGTACAATTATTTATGAGTGTGAATTTGTGATATACACATATGTACTTGCTGTGTTTTTCATAACATTTATTTGGTGATATAAGCGTGACAGGTAAACCACTATACAAGGTTGCATGCATGGTTGGTATGGTATAGATAAGCACTGTTGCGATTCATTGTTATCAATCATCAATGATTTTGAAGATTCTGTTTCATTTGCCTTACTTAAATTCCCTTGACGATGAAGACATTAGTAAAAAAACTCTTGACAAAACATGGAGCTATCAATCATAAGTTTGCTACTCTTTTGGATGATTCTTCTATGTTTAGATAACTCTATTGTACTTGGTTTGCTACCCTCATCAACACCATTAATTGCCTTCAATAACTACTTGTTCTTTCTTTTATTTCTTTTGCCGTTGGTGGGGATTGTCACTGATGTATGGATCGCAAGAAAAAAGTTGATTCTTGCTTGCTTCTATTTATCAATGATAACAGCAACACTTCTTGCCATCTACCAGATTGTTAAGTACTCATTGCCACATTATACTATGTCCACAGTTTACAGTTCAATCCTGACTGTAATTTTCTCTTTAGGTTTTACTGCTGTACGTGCTAACATTATTCTGTATTACATTGAAGTTCTTGTCATTAGAGGAGCTTCCTCAAGAGAATTAAGCTCAGTCATTTATAAGCATTTCCTCACAATCATTTCTCCGGTATTAGTTTACCACTTGTTCTACTGTGTCCTCACACGATACCACTTTGATAAGGCAATCATAGTTCAAGTAGCCATTATCTTTATTATTGATGGCGTTTTCATTGCATCACATATCATTTTGAGGAAGATATTTCAAGGACCAAGAGAAGTCAACAAACTAAATCCAGTCAAACTGGTAGTGAGAGTATTGTGTTATGCTAAAAAGCACAAGTATCCTGAGAGTCGCAGTGCTTTAACTTACTGGGAGGATAAGGCTCCCTCACGACTGGACTTAGGTAAAGAAAAATTTGGTGGACCATTCAAAGAGGAGGAGGTAGAAGATGTGAAAACAGCATTCAGAATAGCACCTTTATTAATATGTGTATTTGGCTATGCAACATCAATGGAAATATTTGACAATTCTAAGTACATAAAGGAAGAGGATTCATTATGCCTTTTTCAGTTTTATGTAATACGCTTTATAATATCAATCATATACATTGTTCTATACAAATTTCTACTTCATTGGAATTGTAACCATTTTCTATCCAGTATGCTTAAAAGGATTACAACTGGACTGGTACTACTATTTTTAAGCTGTGTCTCATTTGCTGCCATTGAAGCAGTTGCTTATTTGAAATCAAACGTCTACAATGAAACTGAATTCATCAATAATGAAACAGTAACTGCAGATAATGCATCAGTAATTCCAATTTTTAGCTCCTATTGGACTATACCTCCATATATTCTTTATGCTATTTCATACAGCTTAGTCTTCATTACATCCCTTGAATTTGTGATAGCACAATCTCCATATCACATGAGAGGTCTACTAGTTGGCCTATGGTATGTAAATGTTAGTTTGGGCTTGCTTGTTGGTGAAAATCTCAACTTTATTTACACAAAGTATTTGACTGATTCTAAACCGAATCCTCAGTTTTACCTGTACTTGACAAGGTCCATCATCTTAACCATTGTCATTATAGGATTTTCTTTTCTTGTAAAGCATTACAAATTACGCATCAAAAAGAAAGATATTAATGTATATTCAGTCATCAGTGAGGTCTATGGTAAATATTTAGAGCAGGAAGAAGAACACAAAAAACATATGTATGAACAATTGCAGTAACATCGAAAAATTCCTTCAATTTTTTATATTATTTGAGAATTTGTTTGTTAATTTAATCTTTATTGTTTGCTAAAAGTAACATGCTGAATACAAATTTAAATTTATAAAAATATTTAGACTTGACAAATAAAATATATAAAAAAGAATATCAGTAAATCCTGGCAGGAAAACAATATAATTATTATAAATAATAGAAACACAGCAAGGAACTCGGCAAGCACCATGCTACATTAAAATTAATTAATATTTAATACTTCAAATTCTTCTCTGAGATCATCATCGCTTCTTATGTCTTCCATATTTAGGTAGCTTGTTGTTATTCTATGGTCATGATAATGAAGAGTCTCCGTTAATTCATCTTTTTGTTTCTTTTGTTTCACTATGAACTCTTTCTCATTAACCTTTTTGCAACACTTTCTCATTGCCAACACAACAACTACAATTAAGGCAACAATCCCAGGAATGTAAACAAAGAACAGTTGCAATAGTCCAGTGAATGTCAGTACCCATTGCTGGGATTGTGAAGTCGTTTCAAAATGACGTGTGAATGAGAGTGTAGTGATAATACCAAGACAAAGGAAAAGTGCACCGTCAATCCTATTATGCAATGGAGTTTGATAGGGCTGTATCCACAAATGAAGAGAAAGTATTATCATCAGAATAACTTGAGCTACCGAAAGAGAAGCTAAGTGGATTCCAATAAGAGCAAACACTCCCACAATTATTGCACGATATAAAAAGTATAGTCCAGCAAAGAAACGATATTGGTCTTTGTAGCAACCTTGAAAGGCATCAAATACAGGCTTGAGTGTTTCAACTTTAGCAACAAAAAAACTGATCAATTTTTTCTCTTGTAATTTAGGTGGTATGATTTTAAAGAAAACAGGATACAGAATAAGGCAAAGTGGAGTGATTGTCACAACTGTCAAAATGCCAATTAGTGCAATGATTGCACATAAAATATGCCAGTCAGCAAAGTAAACTTGATTGCCCATTCTAAACACACGAGCTGAGTCAATCCCACCACCTTTCCCACGAAGAAAGCCAATATGAAGCACCTCAAAGCAAATCTGGGTTGTTTGAGAGTAGCAGAGAATTAGAAATGTCGTTAGAGCTTTTGTCAGTGTAGTAGGCTTGAATATTGGTCTCTTACAGCACATAAATTGAAGCTTATAAAAATAATTTGATTTCATGATGAATACAAGAACTATCACCAGAACAAGTGAAAACAGAAGTGAAAGAGCCTCCATTGCCATTATTGTCAAAAAATTGCTTTCTTTGAAGAGGCAGAAAGAAAAAGTGTTTTCATTAAAAAACTTTAATGAGAAAGGGCCATACAAAAGAACCGATATCAAATGAAGTACTTGTTCAAATTTGGTGGTATATGTTTCACCATTTGCAAAATAACCAATGATTTGTGCATAAAAGACAAAACCATTCAAGGCACCAGAACTTAAATTGACTCCAAAGAGCACTACAATAGTAAACAATAGGGACAAGGGCAGGATACTGGAAAGGATGTAGTAAAGAGCACCATAAGAGCAATCATCATTGCTACCGCACTTGTAGGTTGGGGAATTAAAGTACACGCAATGGTCCTTAATGCATTCTCCACAAAGTACACCCATTCTATTTTTATCACCACAAATTAATGTGCTTAGAACAGTAGCATTAGCCTCTGAAGGAAGCTTAGTACTTGATGTGTGACTATCATTACAGTAGCCTGGTGGACATGTAGCAGTGTACAGGTTATTTTCAAAAACTAAATCATCTTTATATCCAACCCATAATCCTGAGACAATGGATGCCTGAAATTCTTGATTGTCACACCTTGTTATACCATCATAATGCTCTCCAATGTAGTCTGCTGAACATAGGCAAGTGTCATTTCTGTTTATAAATCCTGGTGGGCATTCAGTCAGTTTAATGTCAAGGCCAACAGTGAGATTACGAAAATCAAGTGTACGTATTTCAAGGTGTCCTGTGTCATTTGATTGGCCTTTTATTTGGAACCTGTTATTTGCTGTATATATATTCTGTAGCTTAGGAATATTTCCGTTGTCATTGTTGTTGCTGCTAAGCACAGCAAAAAGAGGTTCAGTTGAATTGTGGTCAAATTCATCTTTTGTTGTAAAAGGTAGTATAAAATCTTTTCCAGGAACAACCAAAAATATGTCTCTCATTGTGCCATCATGAACAAATTCACTTGTTTCTGTGGCAATATTGGCAGATACTGAACCGTTATAATCAACAAAGGTAAAGTTTCCAATACATTCATCGGTGAGTAGTCTTTCAGGCTCAATATATGTCAGATACACGTTAGTACTTTGGCAAAGTTTGTTACAAGGGAGCAATGATGATATAAATAGAGTTTTATTAAAAGAATCGGTATTATTTCTGAAATAAAAACTAGTCTCAAATCTTTTTTTTGTCCTAAATCGCTCAACAAAACATGAGGAGCCAGTAAGTAATGACGTTTTAATGTCTGTTGAGAAGAAATATATTGCTCCACCTTTGACGGTTGCATAATTGTTTGTGAAATTTAGACTTACATTTGACTTAATGTATAAAGAGGCAAATCCATTGATTGACATTGCACCACCATAAGTGCCTGAATTATTTCTAAAAGTAATGCTAGCATTCTCTTCCACTAGAAATATGCAGTCAATAAAATACACTGCTGTTCCATTATTAGCTTCGAAAAGGATTGATTCCTCAAGCTGGGCAGATATAGCTTTGGAGTTCATGGCACCAGCACCAACTGAAGACACACTCACACCTGCTGAAGTACCAGACACACTAACGACAATAAAATTTTGTGTAAAGTTACAGTTAGTGAAACGAGGTATTGGAAAGAAACTGTTAGCCGGGACATCATTTATAACAGGCTCTAGGTATACAGCTGACCCATATGTAGCTCTGTTCAATGTCCACAGAGTATCATAAAAATGAACTCGATTGTTTGGATCAGTATTAGTGACTAGTGTTGAGAAAAAAGCATTTCCACCACCAAAATATGCTCTGTTGCTCATTATAATACTAGAGATTACAGTAATATTATTGTGCCTATTAAGATGGGGTCTAAATGAATAATAACCAAGATCTATTCCACCACCTCCTAGTCTTGCCATGTTGCCTTTTGAGGTAATATTCTTAATGGTAACATTATTATAAGTCGGTCTGCCAAAAAACTGCACAAAGAGTCCACCCCCATATAATCCTGCGTTACCTTCAAAAACACTATCCTCTATCACTGCTGTGTTGTTCTTTGATGTACCACGGACCCAGAATATCAACCCACCCCCACGAAAATTAGTAAACTGAATGCTATCAGGATCTGCTAGGACAGAATTATTAGCAATAATACAGTTGTTTATGTTGATAGTGTTATTAATGTTGTATGTATTGGAGTAAGGATCACAGTCTTGCCATTGCGGGCTACACTTACTAAGTTCAAAATAAATCCCACCGCCACCTAGAAGTAACTCTGATGTATCAACACTACCATTTATGACAGTGTTGTTAATAAACATGGAATGGTGTATGGTAATGAAACCATTACTATTAAGAACACAAAGACCAGTACCATAACTGTCGCTCACTTTGATGTAGCCAATGTCAATGTTTGTACAGTTTTCTAAATAGATAGCAGAAGAAAAAAAATATTCTAGCTTCCCCTTGTCTGTGACATTATGCAGAGCACCACAACTCTCGACAGTGATATGGCTTAGTGTTAAGTTTGTAACGTTGATCAAAGTAATGCCTGACCCAACAGAATGCTGATCACACACAATCCTTGTACTCTTAATGGATGTTACATTGATGTTAATAAGATTTTCTATGATTATCACCGACGAACTGATAACTTCCTCGCCCCTCAGAAGCATTATCGTGCTGTGATGGGCGATTTCTTGGGTTGCTTCAACAAGATTACTTACTAACCTGGAGCAGTTTGGCTTAGGACCAGGGGCAGAGTAATCATCGGAGTGCTCATCCCCAACACATATACAATCTGATAAAACCGTTTCTGAGTAAACCAAGAGCAAACCGGACAGAAAAAGGACAGTGCTTATACTTCTGATGACTGCCATTTCTCTGAAACTTGAAAAATTCCTTTATAAACTTTAATAACATATGTATAGACTATACAAACAAACACTTACTAAAAAAAGCAAAATAAACCAACATGCTAAAATGCTGGAGATTTAGATCTATTAACATTTGATGATATTGTTTCTGTGCTCAAAGATTATACAATACTGACATGCTATTACTATTAAAAAGTATTATAATTCCCTTTTCCCAAGATCTGGACAGGACAAAACAGCTTCATCTGTTTCAGAAAATTCAGCCTTATGTTCTCTAGCCATTTCTGCTGCCTTTTTGCATTTTTTAATCATTGCCAGTGCTCGTATAAACTGGCTCCACATTCTAGGACCACCTTCAAACCATTTGTGAATGAGGACTATTTTCTGGACATCAATATCCTTGTGCTCCATCTGTATTTTTTCACATCCAGGGAATGATATGCCCATAAACAGACACAGCTGAAGTATCTCATTGACCTCACTTAGGTGCAAGACAAGATTCGCTAACTGAGTAGGTGAAATAAGTTCTAATACAATTAATACAATCGTGAATTATAATACACTATTTTATGTACCTGTGTTGCCAAGCGGATCTTTAATGGCTTCTGTGTACAGAAAATACAATGTAGTTACACTGATAAACTTTCTTTGCATGCAAAAACAAATCAACAGTCCGACACAAATTTAATACTAAACATCCTTATTGTAAATTTGTACCTGGAATGATAATAAGGGCTTCTGGTCTTTTGGCTCCTTGCAAGTTTAGTGTTATAGGGTCAGGATCTGGTTTTGATTTTCCTTTCCAGGTAGCAAAGAATTGCATATTACTTATAACAATGCCATCAATGATGTCCTTTTTATAGCACTAGATAAAAAAAGAAAAATTCTATTATTTGTGACCCTTTAATAAATCTTTATTAATTTCCTTTTCTCATTTCGAGCTCTCCTTTTCAATCTCTCTGTCTTACTATTGCAGGTGGAAATCTTGCCATTACTTTCCATTGATTCGTACCGTTAGTGTTTATAACTAACTGAATCATTTCTGACTGGAACTCGACTATAACAGGAGGTGATATTAGCCAGTCAGTATAACCGGATTCACTTATAAGCTATCACAAAAATATAGTTTTATTAATTATGGGATTGTATACTTACTTTTTGTGATAACCCTTGTGGCCTTTCTTCATAAATGAGGAAGCTATATTCAAATTTATAACCAGACTGAGACGATTTGTGCAAGAGACTTCCAACTAATTTAGAATCAGAATCTCTGCTGGCTTGAATACAAAAACCACTGAAATGAAGAAGTGATATGTACCCATAAGAATCTTCACTTAAAAAGTAACCAGTAGCTAGCTTTCTAAAAATATATTTATTGCCTTCTCTAACTTGTTCAGCAGAAATAAAACGAATATGTGATACATTTTTTATATCATTAATATTATGCCATATCCCTAGAAGTATTGGTTTTTGAAAATCCTTGTTGCTGGTTATCCAGTAAATAGCACTAGACATTTTCCACTCTTGAGAATTTGGTAGCACATAAGGCCCTGACTTGCTTACATGAATCACAATTTCAGCCAGTACACCACGAGGAAGAGCATCATGAGGTATGTCTAGTTTTATTCCAAAGTCATCCCAATGCAATCGTTCGTGTTGACCACCAGCTACTAAAAGCTTATTAGATGCGAGAATCTCAACTCCAACTAATGATTCTAAGCAAATTAAATAAAAGCATATATCATATATAATGCATAGGTTGCTGCTCATGTGCTCATGTACATTACTCACTAACAAATATGATGAGAAAGTATGTAGATTTAGATTCATGTATTACAGTATTCGATAATTTAGATACAGCACTAAAAAATTATTAAGAGTACAATTTTTTGAGGACTCAAAAAATAAATCTATGAAAATCAATTTCATAAAATACAAAATGACCGTTTTGTGAAAATAAAATTTAAAAATAGATTTTTCAGGAAATTCAAGCAATATTCGGTGTCCAAGAAGTTTGACTTAGATAGGTTACATACAAGTGCATGTAATTAAGACTGATTTACAGCTCAAACTTTCAGGGAAACCCTAATTTTTTCATCTACATGTGTACAGTGCATGTATATATGATTATGTAAGAATATTTTCCTTGCTTTGTATGCTACAAAAATACAATTTTGATAAAAATTCTTATTACATTCTGTTCAAACTTCAGCCAATTGTAATCAATCATTCAATTACAATTATGACCACAGGTCTGGTGGTTTTCCTTTTGCCGAGCACTGCCCAGTTGAGGCATCAATGATTCATGCTGACATTAAACCTGACACCATCATGCTAAGGGACATGATTAGGCAGACCAGGAAATAATCAAACGATAAGAGTAAATGCCCTACTTATTGAGTAAGTATGGTAAAATCTCTATTTATAGCAAGTGCTAATTAAGTTTGTCTCTTATGCAGAAGGGAGGTTATTTTATGCAGTAAGTCTAAGGAATGCAATACTATAGATGCTTTTGTTAAACACATTGTCCATTACTGTGTAGGGAAGGCACATGCAGTGTATGCAATATTAAATAAGATACATAATGTATTAATATCATCCCATTATTTTATTTACGTACCTTTAAGATTATTACTGCCTTGATATGAGAAGCAGATGAGAATGGTAAAAATTAGTAAATGGAGCAATGCCAATTTATTAGAGGCCAGTAAACTTTGTGTTGGTGTTAGTACTGAGTTCCATAAATAGGCAGCTAATCTTGATTTAATACGTGCCAGCAATATTTTGGGAATGAGGTCAATTACATCTATTCTTCTCTTCTTAAGCATCTTTTCCTGCTCTGTTATTTTGTGTTTGAGATGAGCAATTTCTAAATCTTTTTTGGCAATATTTTCTTCTACATTTTTTAATTTTCCTGATTGCTTAGTGATACCAGGATCAGTTGTGGTGCAAATCACATTTTCTTGAGGTGTACGAAGTGATCTTGGAAATGCTCTTGGTGACACTATGCCCTATAAAATTGATATAATGTGTATTCACAACTTTTCAATTACCTTTGCAATGCTTGGATACCACATTTTATGCTGACTTTGCAATGGGATTTCTTTGTTGTACAAAGGACACTGGATAGCAGAGCAGATCAAAGAACTACAGGACCTTTGTAGCTGACTGAAATGAGGGATGGGCTTTGGCTCGGGACAATAGAAGCCGATTGAAAATGATTGAGTGCTCGATGCTATCTTTGTAAGAGTTTTTACAATGAACTGCGATACATGCATGTGTATAGCAGATGCCCCTTCAACATGTACCGTATAGCGTCAAATTTTCGTGGTTGAAAATTTTCGTGATTTTCGTGACTGAATGGACAATCACGAAAATATTTTTCACGAAATTTAATTTTGATATAAATGTGGGCGTGTCCCATCACGCCTTTTATTTGTTTCTCGGGCACAGGCTGCACAGCTAAGAGTCTCTCCTATAAAGGGAGCCCACCTTTCTTGGTATACGTGATAGCCACGGATACACGAAGGGAATTAATATCGAATAATGCTACCACTCATGTTTCTTCTTCTCCAAGTCCAGCTGGAAGGCTAGCTACTAGCGCGCGGCCACATGGATAGGAGTGGTTTTAATCATCACGAAATTTTATTTAAATCACGAAAATTTTTTAACGAAAATTTACTTGAAAGCAAAAATGTATGAAATCACGAAAATTTTCACCCACGAAAATTTGACGCTATACGGTATTTCCATGTGTGAAAACCGAGAGAGAAGACGTATGGCATCACCATACTCAGTAATAAAACAGACACTGTTACTGGAACGGCCAGGTGTTCTGAGCTTCCATTTTTGAGCAAGCTTAACGATAAGTGCATTGAATAATCTGCTTGGCACATAACAGCCTTCGAATTGTATGAGTAGAGGACTATTCTGAATTGTATGCACTTCTTCCTCTGTAGGCAAAATAATGTTTGTATCTGGTAATAAAATATTTGAGGAAAAGTAGATGTCACTGTTAAGTGGCAGTTCCATGAAAAGGTTGAGATGCATTAGCAAGCTAATGATGTGCCTTTCGGAAATTGGCAGAGTACACTCTTGAATTGTGGTACCATCCAATAAACTGGCAGGGACTTCTCCTGATAAACGAATTGCACCATTATTGCCTATTGAGCGAATAAACCTATTGAGCGAGAAGAAAAGAGCATCAGGATTGCAAATCACAAACTCATTCAAACCATCAACCTCTTCAAAGTACAAGAGAGTGCCAACATTTCGGTGAAGAAACTCAAGGACTTGTGGCAAGTCCCCTTTGCTTATATTACATTCTCTAGCAACTTTAATGGCTTCATCATAATGACATATCCCCGCTTCTGTCTTAGAATACTTCTGCTCAATTTTGTTTAAAAAACGTGCCACATCATAAGACATTTGCATGGGTTTGAAAGATTTGCTTAATATATCTTCAATAAATTTCACTACGTGCTTAAGCTCAGCATCGTCGCCATTCATGTTGTCAATGGGAAAGAACAAGTAACTGTTCTTTGGATCAGTTACGATGAAGTCATCGTTGACAAAATCAGCCTTCCCAAAATATTTTCTCAATTCTTTGTCTTTCTTTTTTAAAACTTTCTGCATGTTATCCCGCCCAATATGATCGATGTGTGTGGCAATGAGGATAGCCTTACAGCCATCTTCCCTTCCAATTTCATAGTAGCTTGACAAGGTTTGATGCAGGTACTGTATTGTGCTGTAATGCATTGTATATCCATCATCGCCTCTAACAACAATCTCTTTTGTCAGCTCACAAGATACATCAAAGAAAACAAAATATAAAGCTGGTCCACGGAGGATGAGAGGTAAGGCAGGAATAAGCTCAGGTTGACTACCTACATTAAATATGTGAAGAGATCGCGGGTCGTAACTGATTCGGTCTGGTAGTTGATAAAGATTTTCAGTGTCATCAAAATATTTGGATGCTGTTGATTTGAAGCTGTCTTGGGGGGTATAAGGGGGTGAGTTTGGTGGCTGACCATCATCATCGGAGCTATTTTCACTGCCTAATGATGCAATGCTAGATAGTCGGGCAAATGGAATAACAAAGCTCTTTTGCCTAGTCATCAATTTCTTTGCATGAGGCCTAGGGCTACCATTGGTCTTTGTGATATTAACTATTTCTCCTTTTACGCGATTTGTGAAGACAGTTTTTCCAGACATCGGAGGTCCAGATACAATGCACTTAATAGAACATTGTACCTCTATTGCTTCAGAAAAAATACTAACACTGTCTATTTTTGACTCAGAATGCCCTCTGATACTGTCAGTAACTACAGCATCATTATCTTCAATATCTTCATGATCATTGGAGGTGGTTTCAAAACTGCCAGGGGCATTTCTTACCTAAAAAGAAGAATGGAAATTAATATACAGGAAATCCATGCAGCCATCATTCTTACTTTGTCCATTAGTTGAACTGCATCCTTAAAATTTTTTGATCTGGCTAACTGCAATGGTGTCTGTCGATCCTATTAAAAAATTAAATTAATGCGTAATTTAAAAAACGACTGGCAGTTATGCAGCTAATTAAATTATGAATGAATTTCAGTCATAAACAGGAAACTCTATGTCAATAACACTTAAATTTGATCATGAATTTGCTCAATTATGGAAAAATGACACTCACCATATTCCTGATATAAATTGAAGCATTGTGCTTCAAAAGAAGGCGAACAAGCTCTATATTTCTTTTTGCAACAGCATAATGTAGAGCTGTCTTTCTTCCCTAAAAATTAACGAATTTTTTTAGCATAAGTCAATGCATGACATTTCACTAAAGATTTTCCCTATGGCTGACACATTTCAGTCTTCTACTAATGCTTTACATGGTGCTTTAAAAGGTAGATATCAAAATCTGCAAGTATTTTTAGAGAAATTTTGAAGGTAGAGCTGCATGGAGTTAATTAAAGTTGTAATTCTAATTAAAGCCTCAATAGAGTGTAATTAAAATTGCTATGCAATTAAGTTGTCCTAGTCAGTGTACTGACAACTGACTCATTATAATTGTAGTGAATTTACTACAGTAGCCACTTCACATTCCATGGGCATACGTACATGAACTTGCACATGTAGATGAAACAGCTGAATTGCCATTTTAAAATCAAGATAATTATATTTCTGACTTTTATTTCAATAGCATTTGTAAATCAAACTACATGTACTTCATCATGAGTCTACTTTAACAACTGAATGTGTACTTGTAATTGTAATTGAGGTTTTAAAATAACCCCATGTATGCTTGGAGAAAATTACCATAAACTGAATTTATTATTACGAGGGACTCACACTTGTTGTAGCATCAATAAGAGCAGTGCCTCCTCTCTTAAGCAATACTTCAGCAATTTCTACATTTAAACATCGTGTAGCAATATGAAGTGATGACTCATTGTAATAGGAGGTTCTTCCATTAGACACCCAATTACCATCACGAGTAAGGATCTCTGCTACTTCGTTGTGTCCTTTGTATGCTGCATAATCAAGAGCATTCCAGCCAAACTATTGAAAATATTAATAATAATTATTAATTAATTAATAGTATAAAAGGCCTGAATTCCACACATACAAAATCCCTTTGACCGGTAGAGGCTTTCTTGTCAAGGAGTGATATCACAACCTCTTTATGTCCTTTCTTGCTTGCAACAATAAGCGGGGATCGATAGTGCTGTAAGAACGAGCATTAGCTTTAAGTGATCGATGGGAGTCTTTAACGTACGTACCTTCCCTGGGTGCTTCCAGTCTACGTCAAAGTGATGTTGAGGTCTGGCACTATTGAGTATTTGATTGACTTTTTCAACATTACCTGTCCTACAATAACTGTAGAGCTTTTTTTAAAAATAAGAGAATGACAAGACCTTCATGACAAGTGGCAACTTACTTTCTCAGACTGTGCGTTACCCATTTCTTCCCAAGAGACAAGTCAAAACAATTTTAATGATATTCATATCCTGAGGGATCCCCCCCAAACACTTTTAAGTATTCTGATACCAATACCAGCAATTACCAAAAAATTATTGTCTGCTGCGGTAGTATCAGATGAAGAATTTGTAGCTTTAGACAAGAATAGTTTAATAGTGTTTGTACCTTTCAGTACAAACTGGCAAAGTAAAACTGTTTCACTACATGTGTGATTATCTACACAGCAATTTTAGAAATAAAAATCAAAGCAAGCAACCCTATGAAATAAATTCCATTTTTTGTACATACACAAATAAGGAGCCAGTCCACCACATACAGATATTGCTTACAAATATAATAAAAATAAAATTAATGTTCAAAAGACAGGTTCATACTACAGCGTAGCTAAAATACGAATTTTGATGAATCAACAAGACAGGCTTGCTGGGTTACTTCAACAGTAGCTGGAGCAGCTGCACAAAATGTAATACACTAGATCCAATTAATGAAAAGAACTTACACAAAGTAAATGGTTGGTCTTCACCAGCATCATGTCTAGCACTTTCAATAGCTCTCTTTACAGCATATAAAGCAGCACTACTCATGCACAATGGTGGCTCACCAACAGCTAATGAAAAATAACATAACTATAAATAATATAAAGTGAAGAATTCTTTTATGACACAAAGTCATGCATTAACATAGAGTATTGTATGCCATGCACATTAAAAGTTTAGCAGTGGAAAATTCCATTAAAATGTCTTAGGTAAATCAAATGCATGATACAATAACTGTATTAACCTTTAGAGCCAAGCACTCCAGTAGGATTTGGTGCATTCTTGAGTAGCTCAATTCTAAAATCAATTGGAATATCTTTAGTAGTAGGTGGCTTGTATTCCTAAAACAGAATGAACAGAAATGGTAACAATGACTTAACATTGTTCATACAACCACATACCCATGTGTTGTGTGTTAGTAAAGCTCCAGTATCAGTATCATAAATAACTTTCTCTGTTAAGAAATAACCTAGCCCCATGACAAAGGCACCTTCTACTTGTCCAATATCAATCTCAGGATTAATGCTGCAATAAAGAAAGAGATTAAGAATGACGAAATGATCAATACGCTTAAAATCAAGAGTGCATAATTATTTAGGGAGAGTGTCTAAGCAGGCAACTTTAAGACTTATATCTCCACTCCGAGGATCATGTAGTGTGAGAAACAAGCAGGAGCAGACAGGAATATGTTCTTCTAATGGTTGGTTATTTCTTTTTTGCAGCTTTCTGACTTGGAATAAATATAAGGATGCAAGAATGGCTACTTGGTGCTAAGCACTATGCTATGTAAACATATGCACTGTGGTATCACAGATTATAGGTGCATTAGACACTCTCCCTAAATAATTATCCACTCTTGTTGAAATGAATACATATTATACATACCTTTGTCCACAATCATACAAAATGTCAACTCTCAATATTTCAGTTTCTCCAGTTAATACATCAACTTCAACTTCAGCCACAGTCACTCCATACGAATTATAATAGTCAGAAACTCCATGCAAACTATTACAATTAGAATAATTAAAGTCGATCATGTTTCTTACTGATATTTCTCTGAAAGATCAACACCACTAGAAAAAGCTTTTTGTACAATTTGAAGCCAGCTTGGATCTGAGACTCCACTGGCTATCAGTTCCTCTTTCACTTTATCAAGTCTTGCCTTAAGTGATTTACAAGCATTTAAAGCACCCTAAAATGTGAGAAATAAATCTTGGCTCATATTGACATTTATGGCAAGTAAAAGAATAGAAAATTAAGTTAATTATCCATTACCAAGCAATTTAATTCACTGGTTGTGCTTCCTGCAGTTGGACCTCCATTAGGACTAGTGAATGAATTGGTAGGCAAAACATTAACTAAACTCAATGGAATACCAAGAGTACTAGCAGTGACTTGTGCAACCTTAAGATAAAAATAAGAATGATGGTAAAAATATTTAATCAATGTACCTTTGTGTTTATTCCTTGTCCTATTTCAACCCCACCATGTACAACAGACACAGATCCATCACCAGTATATATACTAACCATTACTGTGTAAGATCCACCCAAGTATATACCATATCTTAAGGGAACCATAGACATTCCCCTTTTCCTCCACCTGTTAGCCTAACATGTGATTTAGATACAATATGCATCTAATACAACACTTATTGTAAATCATACTTTATTATAGTCTGAGATTTGTTTGCTCCTATTTTCAACATCAGCAGAGGTGCTTATCTCTGTTATTAATTATTATAATAATTCTCAATTATCAACAACTTACGTTGCCAGAGCTCACCAATGTTACAATATGTCAAAGGCTCATTTGACTAAAATACAAAAATTGATAGAAGCTAAGTCCTCATTATCCTTTATTACTACAACTATGAGTAAAACAATAATAGCTCACAACATATGAGACGTCTCCTTTCTTGTACAAGTTTGCTTCTTTAACTTTTTCAACACTCATGCCAATAGTGCGAGCAACATTATCCATAATAGATCCAATGATGAATATAGCAGGAAGACGACCTAATACATCAATGGTGTCATTAAATATTTCAATACATACAGGGAAAATAATAACTTTTAATTAATTCAACCTATCTATTGTTAAATTTTGATCAGAATAAGCTCAAACTTTCTACACAACATAAAAACATACTTGTCATATTCACATAAAAATAAATAATTCACTCAGAGCCATTTTTGACTAACTAATTATAGCCCATGATATGGTCATTAATCATATTTAAGCCACTTTTTAAAATTCAGCAAAAAATTAGTTTTATTGAAAAACTGTCTTAATTGTAACCTTTTTTGACAAAATATACCCTCTACTGTAATGATATAAAGTGCTTTGCCAAATTTTGGATCTACTTTAAAATTCATAAAAACCTACTGCCAAGAAGCTCTGCACTATGCCAAAATTCATGCAAGCAAATTTTATTTAGAATCATTCATTTTCAATTTCATTAATGGAGGATACCTGGAGCTCTTGTAGAAACATTACTGGGAGTATTGGTCTTACATGAAGTTCCATTCAATAACCAGTTTTGACACTTGTATGCTATAAAGGTTGACATACAATTACCAGACAAATTTGACTAAATTGACTTACTGTTGTCAATACAGTGAAGTACAGAAGACAAGTAACTTTCATTATCTGTGCAACCAGAATTACTATAAACGTCAATTTTTATTCCATTTAATATTCCTTCCTTACTGCAACCAACCTATAATTATTAATACTAATAGAAGTCTATAGGTCTATTGCTCTTACAGTGTATTTTGCATAGTAAGGATATCTTTTCCCAATCATTTTCATGTTAGTTTCAAGGTCCATATGCAACCTCACTGGCCTATTAACAAACAGACACATTATGATCACTTTATTTTCTCTCTACCTTCTAGTGATACTAGCAGCTAGAGTGCAAGCAGCTGCTACAAGAGCAGAATGACTACTTTTAGCTCCATAAGCACCACCAACTCGTTTAATCATTACTGTAACTCTGAAAGAAAGATTTAAATGAAAAAATCATCAGAATATTTAATTTGTAGATAATTAATCATGAACATTTTTATTGGCAAAATCTTACTCATCACTCTTGTAAATAATACATGTACATGAATAATATTAATAGGTAAAATAAATTATTACTTGTTGTCTGGTATACCAAGCACACTAGCAACAGCAAGCTGTGCAAACCATGCCCACTGGCTTGAACTATACACTGTATAACCATCATCTTCTGGGATTACAAATGAGGTCTATTTGACACAGAAAAAAAGATGGTAATGATAGAGAAGTTTACATTACTTGAGTCTCCATTGTAAAATGATACTGTGTTTCACATGAAATGTCACCAGTAACAACATGATCCGACCCTTTGATAGCACCTGCAATAATGTAACTTAATGTACTCATATCATAAACACCAAAGTAAAGTCTTGGTAGAATGCACCAGACCTGGGGTCAACTACATTTGTAATGAGGTTAATGACTCAATTACAATTAATATTGTAATTAAGGTCAAAAGTTCACTGCTGACAATTATGTTATTACTTGATACAACCAGTAAAGAGTTTAACAGCAGTTACCATCTCCTAAACCAATAATTACTCTTTCATAGCAAGTCATGTTTTCGTTCACAAAAACACATCAAAATACATATACACTGCATTTTAATTAAAATTACTTCGACATGGCATAATTAAATGTGTAATTGCAATAAGACTTATTCATAAATATTGGAATTAATATGGTCAAGAGGGCACTGCCGTTGATTTGATGCGCGCAGCTGGATCATAGTACTGTGATTGTATAATTACATGTTTTCTTGTATAAACTAAGATAAGTAAGCTAAATTTTAGGTCAGTATAACAGTTTTAGATTGTAGTGACACATCAGGCTGGAAAAATATTTAACTTCTCATGGCAGTGCCTCTCAAATTGAATTTTTACTCAAATGCTTATAACACTTCAAATAGAATTTTAAAACAACTGCTATGGACATAGACAAATCCTTCTCATTTAAATCAGTTATTATGAAACTATAATTCATTGGTCTGTGTCTAGTTTACACAGCAACAGCAGCAGCGTTTTTATGTTGATCTCCATTGGCAAGTACAGGCAAGTTACTGCATTGCCCTCTTGACCATATATTCTAATTAATTATGAATAAGTCTTATTGATCCACCCCAGGTCTAGAATGAACATGCAGTTTACATGTAAATCAATATACATGTAGGCACACAAATGTAAACAACATACATGTACAAGTACATACCATCAGCATCTCCAACAGTTACATTAGGTTGCTCGTCATAGAAAGATTTGGCATCAATAGCATCTTGTATGGTGAGTATCTGTTTCCCTAGACTCTGGTAAGTAAGAGTTACAGCTTTGGCCATTTTCAGTGCATGTTCTTGAGTATCAGCCAGTGCTAGTCCAACTGCTTGACCAGCATAATCTGATACATCAGTAGCAAATACCTAAATGCACAAGTAATAATAATTATATCAATGAGTCAAAATTCATAATAAACTGACCAATTCAGGGTAACCACCTAAGGCATGCATGAAATCATTATTTCCATTCTTTGGAATGTCCTTAGCAGAAACAATTGCTACAGCTCCTTCCATTGACTAGAAAGTAAACATAATTCAGAGCTAATTACTTTTAAAAATATTTACCATTGCTGCTGTAGTGTCCATTGACAAAATTTTTGCATTGCCCTATGATAAAAGGTACATATGAATATGGTACATAAATACACAATATCACTGAATACTTGAGTAGTTAGTACAAATGCTGCAGCCAGTTCTTCAGGGCGATGTGGAATGTCGGTAGTATATTCTGCCTCACCTGAAGCCTAGATAAATGACAATAGCTATTTAATAATTTTTGTAAGTTAAGCAAATTTTGGCTCTGTTCTTCAAACTACATAATTTATTTTCCCTCTTAAAATATTTTCCTCAAAATCCCAATTACCTGTAAAGTAGCAGTCAGTTTAGGCAGAGGCTCATTAACAGGATACTTGCTGGGATCAGTACTGTATGACTGGGTACCTTGGGACACTGGACGCACATAAGGCATAGCTGCTGACTGGTAGAGTGGATTAACATTAGAAATACCAAGAGCTTGAAGATAAAACTATTAAAGTAATAAAAAACTAGAGGTAATTTAAGAAAGGAAAAAGCCAAGGGATATTAAATTACAAACCACACATACCTTATAAAACAAGCTAAGTGCAAGGCTCTTCCTATAACTAGGACTAGCTGATACAGGTGGGGCATTAGGTTTGATCTCATCAGACAGGCTCTGTATAGCTCCTTTCAATGTATT